GACGGTTGTCGGCGGTTGTCGACGGTGATTGGAGTGATGCTAGTCTTCAGTTCCTCAAACCTTTAAGTTATTTTTCAAGCTTCATGCTCGCCTCTTCATGTGAGGGGTGAGACTTTATTTGTATTGTTCTGGGCACAATTAATGCAGGAATATGAACCACTTTGATCAGATGTTTCAAAGAGCTTTCGATTTGATAGCGTTTGATGGACATTTGAGTGTTTTAACAATGTTGGAATTGAGCAATCTTGGGCTCGTTGGATTCGTCTTGTTGAGACGCTAGATTTGACTATAGGCTTACTAGATTGGACATTCGTTTGACCTTCAAAATATATTCGAAAAACTTCCAAAAGTGGTTTAGTGACTTGATTTTACTCGGATGGGACTAATTTTGATATCATTGGGTCTGTCTTATTAAATCGGTCAGTTTGACCATGTTTGCTAAAATCAGAGCTCTGAATGACTTTTAATTGAAGTTTGAATGTTTCTTACTCAGAAGATTGCCTCGGGATTCATGTCATGCTTTGAGATTCGTGTCAGATGATGAAAATTTATTGGTGACGTGTCAGTTGTTAAATTAGTTTCTCAACATTATTTTGGTATTTGATTGTGTAGGAGAAGTGTCTTCATTACCTTCAAAATGCGACGATTCTCCCTTCTGGCACTCCATTTTGTTGGGGAGTGTCAGAGCAGGAAGATTGATGGATAGTTTCTTCTATTAGTAAGAATAATGTTAATATGTGATTAAAATAATTACGAGCATTATCGGTTTGAAAAAAAAAAACTTTTAGAGTTACATTAAATTTTTGTCATGGCAATGGATATAAGTATAGAACTAACATCAGATTTTTATTTAATTTAATATACCCATTTCATTCCAGTGCAGCCATAAACAGATGTAACAAACTCAGTTTCTCAAAAAATATTGGGTATTTTGAGATGGTTCTCAAATATCAAGATATATTAATAGAAAAGGATTAGAAGATCTAGAGTTACTTTCAGGAATGAACACACGATATTGTTTAGCAATTTCACATGTTACACAATAAAAGTCTTTAATGTTTGTATTTATAAAAAGCGAAGTAAACATACACTAAGGATTTTAAAAAGAATCATGTCCTAATCTAGATGTTGTTGATAGTATTAGAGGTGAAGAAGTATGATAGTTGACCTCAATCTTTAAGAAAACATAACCCTTCTTTTTCTTTAGCTTGCCCAATCATCTTCGTCTCTGTGAGATCTTGGAAAACAAATAATCAATAAGAAAAATGCTTTTGCAGTTAAGGTCTTTGATAAATTTGTGAATAGATAAAAGGTTCACTGTAAAGTGTGAGACATAATACGTTACTGAGGGTTAAGTTGAGAGAAATTAAAATGCCTCCTTATCTTGCAATAGTTTTTAAAGATCCATCAACAACTTTTATTTTTCTATTGTTATGATAGATTGTGTAAATTTGAAATATATTGACCAAATTTGTGATGTGATTTGGGAATAACTCTTAGAGGCACTAAGAGCGTAAAAATTTGACTTCATGTCATTTTGAGTAAAAGATCAAGATTTTGTTGGTTTTTATAAAGAAATGAGAAAAATTGTTAATTATCAATTTTTTTAAATTTGAATGCTTCTGACTGCACTAAGCAGGCTTGCCCTTTTTTTTATTTTTGCCTTTACTTCCAACACGGTCATGAGATTTTTCGTGAAGTTTCTGGTCTTTGTCATTGGTGTTCACTTTCTTTTTATAGTAGTTGCATAAGAGTTTTCCTTTGAAGGACGAAGTTGTCCTTGTTTTGGAGAATGTTCTGTGATAGAAAGCCCTTTACATTGGGATTCAAAAATTTTCTTGACAGCTATCTTGCAGGCTGGAATATTGACCATCACCATCCTTCTTCCTTCTTCTGCTCAAATGAGGGAGAATATTTCATTCAAAGAATAGAGATTTTCTGTTTAAGGCTTGAATTCAAATTTTGTGAAACTCATTGTTGAGTCATGCCAAAAACCCAAAGATCGTCTTTCGCTCGATGAATTTTGTAAGGATCGTCACATCCTCATAGAAGGTTATCTTTAGATCTTGGTAGCAGTCCAACTTTAATTAGTAAATTTTTATGTTGTTAAAATATTAAATGGTCGAAAGATTACCTTTTTTGACAGTGGCAAGTTTTGTTTTAATTTCATTGATGTGTGCAACATCTTTCAATTTTGAGTATATTTGTTTAATTGCATCCCAAACCTTTTTTGAGATTGACAAAAATATAAAAGGTTCACTGGCCTTCTGTAACATGGTGTTCCACAACCATATCATGATCATGGAATCGGTTTCTTCCCAAACTAACAGGTTTTGAGTCCATGGGCACTAGAGATGGATCTAGAAGGTGTTGGATCTTTTTCCTTACTTTTACAAAGGGTTTCACAATTTGAAATCATTTAAAATAATTTTTCCCGTTCAAACGATAAGCTGCTTGAAATATTTAAAGTTTTCCTTTGATCTAATTTTCAACATTAATTATGGTTGATTCTTTTGAAATGAAGTCAAAGAACTGAGACATCATGAAAGGAAGGAGAATTTGACAAGATAGATGAGATTAAAATTAGAAATCCTAACCTTAGAGAACAAGAATAAAGATTGGAAGTGGAAACCATAACCTTAAAGAATAAAAATAATAGTTGGAAGGAACATCCTAACCTCTCTCTGATACCATATAAAAAATAAGTAATGAAAAAAAATCTTTATACTTTTTATTCTTTTCTTTGTACAAAATGGGAATGCATATATACAACTCATAAAGGCATTACAAAATATGAATAAACCAAAAAAATGAGGGAAAAATAATTACGGGCTAGATCTTATAAGAAAGCACATGAATTGCAATCCGAGGGTCGTAGAAAGACAGATCTAACAGTACAGAATTTTAATCCATGTGCCTTGATCTACTGGTATAGAGTCTCGATCTGTGTGCATTGATCTAATAGTACAAAGCCTCAATCAGTGTCTTAAGTTTTTTGTTATCATTAGAGTAGAAATTCAACACTAGCCATCTCCTTGTTTTAGAGGTAGTTGCATCTTAAATTATTTTTTTTATTATTATTGATAATATGGCTATCTACTACAGATGTAAAACTCGACATCTTGTGATTCCATCCAATAGAGTATGGGTATACCTAATGGTGCTCTAGTTCTCTTCCTAGATGTAATTCAACGTGGCCCTACAATATTAAGTAAATCATTTTAAAACTGTAGGGAATAGTTGATCACAGTTGTATTTGGCCTTCTGTTTTTTTTCCTCTTAGTTTTTGGCATTTGTTCTTTTGATAATTTCAAGTGACTAACAAGACGTATACAATCTTTACCCTTATCATATTGAAAATATCCAACGACTCTTCAATATATTGTGATGGAGAATGACTTGAGATATTTTCCATCTATTTTTCACTTGACAATATTTTTTGACTTTCCAAAATTTCTCATATCAATCTTTGACTATGAATTTTTAAAGTTGTTCATTTGAATGTCAACCTTTGTAGAAAATTTTTCATCCACATAAAGTGATATTATAATAGTCTTTTCTTATTTTGTTGAGATAGCAACTCTGGTTGGCATTGTTTTTGAGGAATCCAATTATGTGCATGAACCCATCGAATGTATTATAACATTGGCAAAAAACTTAATTCTACTCACCAAAGCTTCTTTTAAATTTGCAAACAAGGCTTTTTTTCCTGATTCAACCAAGCCTTTGTTTTTTTTTTAAAGCAAAATATATTAACTTGATAATCATATAAGTACATCAAGGGCATTTACTAAGAAATGCCTACAAAGAAATCATTTGGAATATCTATCTTGAAGCCGACTAAAAGTGCGATAATGATAATTAATTTTATTCTAATTTCCGCCACTTATAGTATAATGAACAAAAATATTCTATCAATTAGAAAATTCACACTCTGAATGCTTCTCTCATAATCATATGTGTTGTGATAAATAATTGTCATTTTGTTCATCAATTGGCAGAAGTATTTATTTTTCTATAAGTTAAAGAGAATTGTCGTGATAATTTCAGCTATTGATGAAGTAATCAACACCAAGTAGCTCTAGGATCACCAACTATTTTCTTCAAAGAGAAATTGAACTAGACAATAGGTTTTGAGAACAAATATGAACAGAATAAGGGTGCTCTTTTACCTTAAGGTTGACAGGTAGAAGGTCATGTGAGCCTTGAAACAATCAGAGTATTTATATCTAAAAATACGACAAAAAAAAGATATGGAGGAACAATTTGAAATTTAGCCTTTTGCCAATAGTCAAATGATGTTGCAATCTATTATTTATGAAATAGGGCAATATCGTTCATTCTGACACTCTAGCATTCCACCTTTTCTTTGTTAGTTGGCACCGTTGCATTCCCTCTCTCTCTCTCTCTCTCTCCTCTTTGTTTGCTTCTTGGTGTGGGGATGCCAAACTCCTAAACTTCTATGTTAGTGATAACATGCCTAGTGTAAAAACATGGAGTTAATTTTAAGATCCAACAAAATCTTAAAAAATCTCTTAGAGTCAACAAAAATATTTTCGCTTACAATAGGGATTTAACCATATTTTTCCAAATCTATATTTATTATTTGTAATAAATAGGAGAACTCAATAATTTCTTATAGATATTTGAGAAGGCGGGCATTTTGACTCCATCACTTTAACTAGTTTTTCTCATAGCATCTTAATGCATACCAGCCAATAGTCCCTACTATTGTGAATTTCTGGTTGGCCTCTTTGTCAGGCAATCTTCCAACGATCAAACAAATAAACACACGCACACACATATATATTCCCTTGCACTAGATTTTTTGTTTTCTTGTTCTTGTACTTTCAAATTATTTTTTTCTACTCATATTTGTTGCATACGTTTATAAATTTAGCTTTGGATGGGTTTCTTTTTTCCTTTAAGGGAACCTGTAATAAAAGAACTAACTTTTCTTTCAAAGAGTAAGCATGCTCATTTATTTCCCTTTCAAACAGATCAAAAGCTTACCAGTCAAGTACATGAAATAGTTGGACGCATAAACGGACGGTTCGGTACTCTAACTGCTGTTCCTATACATCACTTGGTTTGTCTTAACTAATCTCTTAATTGTCCTATTCATTCTGAATTCTTCAAATTTATCCAAGTTGATTCCTGATGTTTTAGGTTGTACTGTAATTCAATCGAACCATTTGTTCTTTTTGGATTCCATTCAGATCGTTTCATTGTTTATACTACTGGATTGTAACTATAGGCATTTTGTTTGCTGTGATTATTTTCCTATTCCGTGATTCGTTATTGAGCTAATACAAACTCATTAATTTTAATCCATGTTTCTTGTAATTGGTTAGCGCTATTTCATTTATTCATGCACACATCTTTTTATTTAGCTATTGAAGTGATAGATAGGTTTTCCCACAAAAAAGTATCACTGATATACTATGAGTTGGAAGTTAAGATAACAACTGTCAAAATTGCCCCCTAATTATTTACATTTGGCCATATTAGTCCCAACAATTATAAAAATGCCAAATTAGTCGCTGACTCTTTAAATTAGGGCTAAAATAATCCTCCCATACCCCCCACCCCCCAC